AGCGCCGCGCCGGGCGGCAGCGCCGCCTCGCACCGCGGCTGTCACCGCGCGGCCACGCGGACGGCGAGGCCACGGCGTCACGACACCCGCTGGCCACCGACAGCCCGCGGCTCGAGCTGCTACACGCAGAGCCCGGCTGCGTCTCCCTAGGGACAGCGGGACGGGATGGAGGGCCGGAGCAGAGCCCCCGGTCTGCGCCGAGCGAGGCGGGCGCTGCTCAGCACTTCCCCTTCGAGCCRCCCCAGCGCCGGCGGCAGGGCGGGCAGAGCCGGCCCGGCCTCCGCACTTCCCGAAGCCTCCGGCACAGCCCCGGCGCCCAAACCGAGACCCTCCCCGAGCCAGCCCGCGTTTGAAAGCCCCTAGGGCACCAAACGCTGGGAAATCGGCTGCCTTATCAGCCCTCGAGTACAGTTCGGTTACACGAAGCGGTTGGCCAAGATAAGCTCGGTATCAAGATAACGGCCTCCCCCGTGCGAGGTCCCCGCTCCTCGCAGCAGCTCTCGCACTACCGAGCTGYGCCGGGGGAAGCAGCTCGGGCCCTTATCTGGGGCTCTCCATCGAGGTTTCCTCACAGTAACTGCCCCGTCCGCTGCTTGGGAGCCCTCAGCTCAGGAGGACAAGGGACAGAGCGGACCCCTGGGGACCCTTGTAGTGCTCTGTCCCCTCTGGGTCACACAGGACACGGTCACGGGACACACAGGACGCAGGTGTCCTGCATTTCCTCTCTTTGGCCTCCAAGACACGGTTTGAGCCGGGCGCCTGTTAATAATTCACACAGCGCCGGGGCCTCTTCTGTGTCCCCACGGGGCCCTTACTCACCGGGCGCCCGGTTCGGGCCGCCGGCCGCGTGCTGGGAGGTGACGGGGCAGAGCCGGCCCCGGTGCCGCTGCGGCCGCCGGGACGGGGCCCCGGCACACGCAGCCCGCGGGGCCATCGGCTCGGCCGCCACGCGCCAGGGACGGTCCCTGCGCACGAAGCGCCCCGCGCCTGGCGCTGGGGACAAGGTCACTCGCAGCCCCGGGCGCCGCGCGGCCCCCCGCGAGTCCCAGCGAGATCCCCGGCTCCGGGAAAAGCCTGGGCTTAACTCCAGGGCTTATTTTGCTGCAGCATCSAGCAGCTCAGCAGCCRCCTCTTCCCGCAGCCCAGTGCCACWTGTCACACGTTCAGGGGTGCAGGGCCACCCCGCAGCCCCACGTCACCGTGCAGGGGACCCAGGGGACCACAAAGGCACCGCTAACTGCTGGGCACGGGGCTGGCACTGCYCGGGCAGCCCATGCCACCAGCACAGGGGTGTCAGGGTGTCCCTTCCCATCCAGCCTGGGCTGTCCTTGCCCCAGGGGTCCCAGGGGACCCCTTTTCCACCCTGCCAGCCCCCAGGGCATCACAGATGGTCCCCAGGGCTCTGTGCAGGGCACCCCAGGGTGCCCCCATGGGGGCTGCTGCCCATCGATGTGGGGCACCCCAGCCGTCCTGGGGCTGCTCCTCACCACCACCGAGCAGGTCACCCCTGGGTGCATCTCCCCAGGGCACCTCGGCACCAGAGCCACCCCCTTCCCTATGGGGCACCCAAACCCCGACTCAGGGTGGTCCCCTGCTATGAGGAACACCCTAAAAATGCATTTCCAGGGCTGTCCCCATCTATATGGGGAGAATCCTACATCAAAACACCAGGACTGTCCCCTCCACAYGGGGAGCATCCTACACCTGCATCCCTAGGGCTTTTCCACCACAATACAGGCACCATCCGCTAGGGCATCCCTAGGAATTCCCCCGTCCATATGGGGAGCCCCCCACAACCACATGCCCAGCGCTCCCTCCTCCCATGCGGGGAGCATCCCCCAGCGCATCCGCAGGGCTTCCCCACCAGCTTAGGGAGCATCCGCACCCGCCTCCCCAGGGCTGTCCCCCCGCACATGGGGAGCACCCTACACCTGCATCCCCAGGGCTTCTCTCCCAAAGGAGGGAGCATCCCCTAGCATTTCCATATGGGGAGCATCCCCCAGCGCATCCGCAGGGCTTCTCTCCATATAGGGACCATCCTCCTCACATCTCCAGGGCTTCTCTCCATATGGGGAGCATCCCCCAGCAAATCCCCAGGGCTTCTCTCCCTATAGGGACCATCCTCCTCACATCCTCAGGGCTTCTCTGCACATGGGGAGCATCCCTCAGTGCATCCTCAGGGCTTCTCTCCATATAGGGACCATCCTCCTCACATCCCCAGGGCTTCTGTCCATATGGGGAGCATTTCCCAGGGCATCCCCAGGGCTTCTCTCCATATAGGGACCATCCTCCCCACACCTCCGTGGCTTCTCTCCATATGGGGAGCATCCCTCAGTACATCCCCAGGGCTTCTCTGCATATAGGGACCATCCTCCCCGCATCCCCAGGACTTCTCTCCACATGGGGAGCATCCCCCAGCACATCCCCAGAGCTTCYCCATCAACTCAGAGAGCATCCCACAATTGCATCCCTAGGAATTCCTTCCTCCAYGCCAGCAGCATCCCACACCCTCCCCCCCCAGACCCCCTCAACGCACCCATGGAGCRCCCCACACCCACGGCCAGGGCTCCCTCGCCCCGCAGGGACCCCCGCGCGCCCCCCGCTCCGTACCCACGAGGTGCCAGCCCTTCCTGGGCCCGTAGCAGGCGCGCGGGGCGGCGCGGTCGGCCGCGAGGCCGAGCAGCGGGGTGCAGAGCCCGTCCGCGAGCTGCCCGGCCAGCAGCAGCGCGCCGGCCAGCGCGTGCCCGTAGCCCAGCACCGAGTGCAGGAAGAGGAGCAGGTAGGTGAACCAGAGCGAGGCGCACAGGTCGTTCAGGAAGTGGCCGGCCGCGAAGCTCAGCCGAGCCCGCAGCGACAGCGGCGACAGCGCGCGGGCCACCTCGCTGCCGCCCGCCGCCCGCGGCTCCGCCATGGCCGGCCCGGCCGCGCCGCTGCCAGCGCTGCTCGGAGCGCCGCGTAGCGCCCTGCTTACAGCCCCGCTTATAGCGCCGCTTATAGCCCCGCTTATAGCCCCGCTTATAGCCCCGCTTACAGTCCCGCTTATAGCCCCGCTTATAGCCCCGCTTATAGCCCCGCTTACAGCCCCGCCGCCCGCTGCGGGGCCGGGCCCCGCGCC